CATTGAGAAATTTAAAAAGAAAATTAGGCTTAATAAGAAATCTGAGCGAATCACTGCTAGATGATAATCAATGCCATTGATAGATCATTTCAATTCAATTATCATGACACTCTTTAAATTGCTACACATAAATGAAACCGAATGCTTCATTTATTTGATTCTTGAGTTAATGTACTCATCACCGTTTTATTTCCCACAGAATGAGGTACATTCTTGAAGGTGAGCATTGAACAGCGATTTAAACTAAGTAATAAAGATACATTAATTCGAATTAAAAAAACTTGAAATTTTAATACAATTATTGACAAGACTTGCAACCTGCAAAAAAAAATATCAGTTGACAACAAACAAAATGGAAAAAATATAACTGGTGATACGAAGAAAAATAAATGTTAATTTGTCTTAAAATGGAAACTGTAACAAAAAGAATAATCTTTTGGGTAATCACACTTTCTCACTGATGATTAAACAGCACATCGGAAACAGTTAGATTTATTAAACAATAACAGAGATCAATGAAAAACTGTTAAACGTTTTTTTTGAACTACTGGTAAATTAAGTCCTGAGATAGTGTAACAAGTACCAGTCCAAATAAGCTTCTATTCTAATTCCCATCTCAGTGTAGAATTTATTCAAAATTTCCAGTGTCACATCAGATATTCATGAAATATGAGAGCGCTAATTTGGGATTTTTTTAAAATAAAGCTATATCTCCTAAAAAGATCCCGTCAAACAACACGGAAACTTCGAGCAGAAATCTTTTTTGATTCACTTTTTTAAATGAACCATAAACTGCAAAAAAGTTTTCAAAAATAAATGACGCAAGAAGAAGACTACATTTTTGATTTAAGATAAGATACATAAACAGGTGAGAATGGGTAAGCGGGCAAAAAGCATAATTGAGCACTAAATGTGCCATCTCTGGTTAAAACAAAATATCTGGCAACACTAATCAATATCTGATCAAAGGATACACAGAATAACACAAGAATCTGAGCATCGACTATGAGGCGAAACTTTAGGAAAGTACGTAAGCAATAATATCAATAGGATGCTTACGAAAAATATATTATAATATAAAAAGAAGAAACTAGTGATCGAATGCGCGAACTCTTTGTCAAAAACTATGGCTCTCTACTTGTTTCGTCTTCAACAAAGTAGTGAACTTTGATCAATTTCCGAATTTTAACGAAAAAGAAAATAGCTTGGTGAGAGCTGGTGACAGTAACTGCTATTATCCTTCGATAAATTGGATCACTTGCAGCCTTCCCAACATGATCAGTTATTATCGGAGGAAAGAATATGATAAGAAGTCAATACCAAGTGATATTTTTATCCACAGTAATACACAACATTAGCACACATTGTTTTTTTTTTTATTATCAACAAATACATACTTCTTTTCCTCCGTATTCATGAGAAACGAGAAACCATACATATTGCGCCAGATTATGAAATAGTTCATTAGTTACTATCGAATCGACTGCTAACTAACTGTATTGTTTTTTTCTGAAATATGGTAACTAGAGATCAATTTTGACGGAAAATCAAATAAACCAAAACCGAAGTGAATCCGTAAATTAAATTTAAAACAACAGTGTATTGGTGAGTTACTAGCATGACCGATGATAGAGCTCTAGCTGCTCGATAAAGAGTCCACAGGAACATTTCCATTCAAGCACTAAGGTTAGAAAGATTTTTCCCAATAAACACCGAGTAACGAAACAACGAAAGTCTGCCTTTAATTTTAGAGATGAATCTATAATATTGTTACCTGTACTATTATTTATACTATAGTTATCTTGACCAGCTGTATTCATCGACGATAAACGTTGTGCAAGTTTCGCAGCATCCGGATCTACCCCTTGCGCGTCTACTTCCGGAACAGCATTCCGTCTTCCATTACGTCCGGAGTTCACAAACTCCTTCATTTGATCATCATCAGTCGTGCCTTTTGCTTGTGTCACATCATCCATTTCGCCCATTTTTATTGCATTGGAATGAATTCACAGCAATTATAACAACGATTGCCATCAAATAGTCTAAATTTATTCCATATAAATATGTAGTAATGCCCCAAATATCGTAGCGCTCGACACTGTTACTTGACTTTGGAATAATCTGTAAATATAGTTAATTTAAACGGCTATTTTTAATAAATGATATGTTTTAAGCAATTAATATAAGAGTAGTTAGACTGAGCTTAAAATTAATTATTTAGCTGGATAGTGTGAAAAGGCCATTGATGCAAGGACAAGGGAACAGATGTTGTATTGGGTAATGGGACATAACGGTGATACTATGATCTTGTACACAATATAAATCCCCTAGTGTATCAGCCATACAAACAACGGGAGGGTTTTTATCGCATCAGATAGAAAGATGCACTGAGAAATGAACAATCTTAAACATATGAGATGTGATCTAAGCTTCATCATCAATTTTGCATGACGAAATTGTAATGAAGTGGACAATTATATAAATGTAATAAAAAAAGGAAATAAAAAAATGGGTTCAAAGGAGACGACGTTGATGCCAACTTTATGGCAGTATTCTGTTAGACAATGGCAAAATATCCGATAGCTTATAAATGGGTTCGTTGTTAACAAGTGATAGAGGAACAGTGATGACACAAAACGGTTGCTACACTGCAACGTACTACAACAGTACATGGAGGAGGGAAACATTCAATCGCTTATATTTTCTGCATAAATCAATATTGGACGGCTGTTGCAGCGGTTATGTCCGATGACCGCATCGACAATATCGACGATAGGATAAGAGTGAGGAATGGTGGTGTGGATGCTGATTGGAAACTAAGAGAGTATTATTGAATTGAATGGAAGGAGAGGGAAGGGTTTGTTGCTTGCTAAGTGTCCTAATGAGATGACGTCTTAGTGACATGTCAGCTAAGCGCTTAACCAACAGATGTAAACGAATATCAATCTCACTAATGACAGCGATGAATTTGTTTCTATTCTTTATTTGAATAAAGATAGGAATGCATAATAATATAACCCATCAATAGCAGTCATGTGAAAAGATATGTCTTAGAAGTGATTTCTTTTTCTGCTTCCATTTATGACAAATTGTTGGAAATCTTATCTAAGCAATCATAAAGAAGTCATTATGGAGCGAGGCACAAACCCTGAAAAGACAGATTTTTATTCTCATGAATTTAATTTTGCTAGCGATATTCTCATCATCAAACAGAATACGATGTGTTTGTATCAATTTATTATCACTCTTTAATGATAAGGAATACAATCCATAAAAGAAGTGATTTGAAAATCGATTAATTACATATTTTGCATATGAATTATCTAGTAATTGGGCATGATTCAGTCCCGAATTTCAAGAAATTTTTTTCCCTATGAAGAAATGAATTCTTAATAAATAATTCATTCCTGATAAACAATTCTTCGCAAAGAGTAATCAATTTATTCAGCCGAAAATAATATTTCAAAATTGCTATAACCAAAGAATTCTTTTCAGTGTAAAGTGAATGTCGCCAAAAAAAATGCCAGAAAAAATGTTTCTGTTGAAGTTTAGCTGTGATGTTTAAATTATTTTAAGCAATTAGAGTTGAAGCGGTATTTTTGTCTAAGATTCAATGAAATTTGAAAATTGTTTCGTAGTATCTAACAAACAGTTCATAAAAAGTAACATAGTGAAATTAGAGATTTTTCCATGATTTTAAAGTGAAATAATAAATGAATTAATAATGGAAGTGAAGGCTTATAGCCAATGGAGAATTTTGAAAACACTGAACTAAATAAAACTATACACAAATATACCAATAAACTAAAAATAAAACAGGTCGGAAAGCTGCCGAACAGACAAAGCACTGGTATGAACCGGTTTACAGTGCTGATGTAAAATTAAAACAGCAAGAAATTATCATCAATTGAGCAAAAAAAATAATTGGACAAAAAATATCAATGAAAATATTTGGGTTTTCATTTTAGCAATGGTTTAATTTGCTTTTGTTTGAAGATGATGTAATTATTTGAATATTTAAGCGAACAAATGATATAATTACTTAAATACTTGAATTACGAAATGATAAAATTACTTAAATAATAAAATAAACAAATGATACAATTATATGAGCATTTGAATAAGGAAATGATAATATACAACTCAATGCAATAGCAATTGAATTAAATTAAAATTAATGGAAAGCGAAGTTTTTTGAATTTTATTTATCTTTCCAAACAAATTTATTTTATTTTATTTTTTCAGAAAAATCAATATTTGAAGTTTATGTAATCAAAAGTTTGTTGAAAACAAAAGTTTTTAAATATTTTAATTATTCCATTATTATATGGTACGAGAAAATATCGAAAATACAATTAGAGCAAGAAAAAAAGTGAAATTACTGCGATATAATAACTGCAACAACAAACCATTCTCTCTTATCTTTCATGACAATTTTGCCTAAAATGAAAGTTTATTTGAATTAAAGAGAGAATTGAGAGAAAGAGTCAAAATGCGATCTTCTTTACGTAGTAATACATTTGCTCAATTTTCTCTCTAATGTAATATTTCAGATGTAATCGGAAGATAATCATTCCATAAATTAAGATATGATTGGAATTAATTAATTACTTTAACTTCATGCAGTCTGTTATCTAAAAGTTTTCAACGTTTTTTTTCATTTTAGTCAAAAAAGGATAATATGAAAAATGAGCCTACTGGTCATCCATTTTCTGCTAAAAGTTAGCCATTGTAGAAATATTATGGAATCAGCAACTGTTTAATCTATACTAGATCAAATGAATGAGATAGTATGCAAGTTTTTCAAGCGTCACAACAATGCGACATTATTGTGTTATTTAAGCTTATCTGATCGATTGTCAAATTTATTTGCAAAAGATAAAGCAAATATTTGAAATCAGAAAGTTTACTCCATCCAAGTGCCACGGAATTCTTGGATAATCGGGCAGATAACCTTCTTTCCATTTATCGTGATTTTCTTCATCAATTTGTAGAAATAGCAAACAAGTGGTATACCCAATAAGAGTGACAATTCCACCAGCTGTTAATGCTATAATGAAATTTACTTCAAATTTTAAATCGCAATTAAATGAAATAAGAGAAAACTTTATTTTTAGTTATGAAAAGAGATATTGTCAACGGTAAATTTCTAAAGAAATATTAAAAGAGAAGAAAAGCTATGAGTGATACATATATTGGTCGGATGTAAATGTTCATATGTGAAAGGAAAATATTCCAAACCTTTTCAGGAGAAAAGTTTCAGGTAAACCAAATTCTAATCAGTTGTCTTAAAACCAAAAAAACCTCGCCGTATGAAAAGTTTTATAAACATCTAAACCAAATTTTCAGCTCATTAAATTCCTTTTCGTATATAATTGGATAGGTTAGTTATGACAGTTCAAAGAAATGGACAAAATTTACGTCAAGTATAGGATCTCATTAAAAGTTGTCTAGTCAGACTCAAAGACATACTTAAACTTGCGATCGTCCACCAGTAATACATTTTGGAGCAGTAGAAATAAACCTAATTTGAAACAAATTTTCAATTTATGTGAATCAATTATTGTCATAGGCAAATTTGAGATAACAATATAACTTATTTCGTCGAAGAAATTCATCGTAGAAATTTGCATAGACAAATTAACCGCTTCTTATTAATTCGATAATAGCATACAATATTTGATTATCGATACTATTTTTTACCAAAAAAATTAAACATCAAGCTGAGACCGTTAATTTTTGTCAAAAGATCACAGCCACTAAAATGAAAGAGAAGAAATTGATTATTAACAACTCTGTTTTATTTCTCGAGAATAACAATTTCTGTGATGGAAAACTGAAATAATACTAAAATATTAAAATGATTTTAGATGAATTTCTAATTATCTTGAATATTGTCAGTTATAGAATTTATTGTCTTATTGACTTTTAATTTCTCTTATTTACTTCATTCTTGATTTTGCAAGATTAATTACCAATTAATTACCAACTCGTTTCTTAATTTATGGTTTAAAAGAAAGTGGTTTAGTTCTATCAGTCAATTAATCAAGTGTTTAATACTAGGCAACCCCTTGTTACTATAATTTCATGTACTAAATGATCATGAAATGATATCTGTTTCATAATTTTTCTTTTTTTGATTCCCTGGGAAATATAGCAATCCTCTTCGAGCATTAACTTTACCGTTTAAACTTTAGAGATGTTTCAAAGTGTTTCACTGTTATGCGATAGTATTATCATCGATGCCTATTCGAATCCTTTTCGGACTATCACCTTAGAAAACAATTCCATACTACTCTCTCAAATCAACAAATAAAGAGTAAAATAAAACTTTATATCAAATAATAAGCCTTCATCAACATTCGACAGTGCCAAACCAAAAATTTTCACAACATTATGTTTTAATTTTTGATTTCCAAAAATCATTTATTAACCCTTATCTATTAAGTTGCTTTGAAGCATCAAAAAAAAACAATGATTAAACTAATTTGTTTAAATTTATCAGTGCGGAAAAAACTGTCGTTACCAGAAACGGAAAATTTAACAGTCCACTAAATAATTTAAAGTATTTGTCCATTATTTGTTCTTTAATTCATTAATTTACATAAATGAACAATTTAAAAACTCCTATGATAATTATAATTTCATTCAGTGCGTCATAAATTTTCTTAAATATGACTGCTTGCAGCTGCTCTCCGACGTAAAATTTTTCACCTCTCGTACTACGCCAAATGTTATAGACTGAAAAATAAATGCATAGAAGAGCGAAATTTAGAAAGAAGTCGTAACTACAGTTAATGTATTACTCGTAATATTATTGTAAAATGCTTAATACCCGCCGCGCATTTGATCATAATTTTAAATTTTACATTTTACTTTAGTAAATTAATTTACATTTTACATTTTGCAATAGAATAGTAGTAAACCTATTATGCTTCATTTTCTTCTTCTATAATTCAATTGTAATATCAATCAAATAATTTTTACTTGGCACCTATCATCTTCTTTTTCGAGAGCAGCTGATTAATTATGCTTGCTTTTCTAGGTTAACTTACAGTTGAGCGATTTATATTTATCACTGGCAAGAAATTCAATGAAACAATATGAGTAAATTTAGACTGAGCAAGATTTTGTCTTAAAGTCAAAGTTCTTCTTTATATAAATTCGATCAGCTTTTCCAGGAAAAGAAATGCAGCAGTGAATAGTTGCAATGATAATTTTGCTAGTGTGTTACGACATATCAGAAATGAGACCCAGAGAGATTTGGTTTTCAATTTTTTCCTATTTACCCTCTAAATTTCTTCCACTATCATGGCTTCTGAGCGTTATAATAGCGATATTTAAATCGTTCATTTGCGATTAGAATAATAAAAATTGCAACTGAAAAATTTTAACGTGAAAAATTTCTTCTTTTAATAATGTTATATTTGTTGAGCCATCTATACCAAATGAGATTAAAAGTAAAATATCTATACCAGCCATCTATACCAAATCTATACCAGATGAGATTAAAAGCAAAATATTTGCAATAATTTTTTATCTTTCAGAGACGACAACATTTGCTTGATGAGCATCTTCGTATCTTAGAGCAAGAATCTAAACAATATGTATGCTTCTTTTAAAACTAATTCTTAAATTTTTTCATCTGATAGGATCCATGTTAAAGATTTCATATTTATACCATCCTTTAACCAAAAATTTTCGTGATGGATTGAAATTATAATTTTTGCTGCTTTTGCTGTAATTTTTATTACAGGATAGAAAAATTCTCGCGAAATTTTATGAAATTTCCATGAAGTCCTACAAAATATGCTAGCTTTAAAAATATTAACAGTTGATCCGTAAATTAGCCGTAAAATTTAATTCTGCTAATTCAGAATAAAAAGTGGCAAATTTCAGGAGAATCCGCTGCGATATCAATTGATTCCGCAACGCTATCGTATGAAACACAAAGGCTATGCAGTTTGTCGTTTGTGTGCGGAACAATCACATCATCAGTCCGTTCCGCTATCTACTAACTTTAGCCTGATGGACTACTTACGGGAAAACTCTTCTGAATGTTCTACAAAGTATTGTTTATGAAATCAATTTCAATTCAATGTTACTGATTCCTCAAAATATCATTCTTGCGTGATACTGAAGAACGTTGAGATTTTCAATAGTATTAACTTTTTGTAGATATTTTAACAATAATTTAAATTCGCATTCTATAAATTAAAAACAGTTTAAATTCATGTATATTAATGGCAGTAGCCTAAGTATATATGCAATATATATTACTTTTTGACTGCTATTGAAATTAAATTAATGATTTTATTAGTTTTGTGAGACATCACAAAACTAATAAAATGATTTTTATTCATAGTCAAGCTGACGACCTATATATCACTATTTTTATTTAATCAAGCTGACCTATAAGTTCAAATATTTTACCTTAATGTTTTAAATCTCAGAACCCTACTCGATTTTTTTTCAGAGTCATAAATAATGATAGATATTACCTTACGGTAGAATTGGGTTGCTGCTTGGCCCGACTTACACGTTTGATATTCGCGTTAACGAAAGCATTAAAAGAATTGAGATTTGTCTCCGGTGATATGTATCCAATGTTAGGCAATGATATTGTAAGTTTTGTCTAACAT